CCTGCACTTCTATGCCGTGTTTCAATATCTTATAGGAAACCAGGCCAAGTCCTGAGAAAGGAGACTTGTTCTAGTCATTTATATTTATATTCATCATGTATTATCGAAAAGGCTAAAGACTGGACTCTGCTCTTTAAAGATTGCTTTTTAAATTTAAATGGAATTGCTTCCTAAGGGTAATATATCTTTAACGAGTATAATTATTATGATAATTTTAAAGTATACACAACAGCTTTTATTTTTCATGTATATATATATATATATAGATACATATTTGAGTCATAGCCGAATCATTGGATAAATTAGAAATTTTTTGTTTTGTTTTTTTCAGCGAGAGTTGTGATGTTTACATAATTTGGGAAGTTTGTTTTGGGTCACTACATATTTGTGGAGGAAAATTTTGGGAATTAAGTTCATTTCTTGAGTTTGTAATTTTAGAAAAAAAAAAACCTGAGCCACCAACGATGGTGTAAATAACTTTCCCTCGTAACACTGCAGAATGCCAAAGATATATATATATATATATATATATATGGTAGAATTATCACTACTTGCCAACTAATGTTGATCAGTTTGGAAGTCTTTACAATATTAAAGTATTATAATGTATTTACAAATGTAGGTTATAACATTCACCTTTCAAGTGGTAAAACTAATTTCTGGCTTCTTGCAAGAAGAGTGTGTTTATTATTTAACTGGATAGTAGAACAAAATACGGCTTTACATGTGCTAGAACTTTTTTTTTATCTACTACTCCAGGACTTTCTAGAAATTGTACAAAACTCTGACATTTTTACTGTGTATTTTTACAGTCTTTCAACGATGCCAAAGAAACTGAGGTTACAGTATACTCCGTTTTGTTCTATAAAGTATTTTTCTGGTTACAATTTACTGAACACTTAATGGGAATCAAGTTTTTGTGATTTAAATCCCATCTACTGATTCTTTTGTTTATTGTGATTTATTTTTATGGGATAATACTATTTATTAGTTATTATGTAGCAGGAAATGTTTCTCTTCTAATTAATCCAAGAGCTACGGGCTCTTCCGTTTATCTGCCAAAGATCTGAACTACATTAAAAAAAGACTTTTGGAATATTCTTAACACTGATGATTCTTCTCGTTTTTAGAAGGTAATAAAAGTTTCTTTTATGTATCGCTGTGTTTTAATTTAGTTTCTTCTTCATTTAAACCGATTGTTGTATTCTCCCCTTCAGGAGAAGTGTATACAAATCACATCAGTTTCCTAGGGTGGCACTGGCGATCCTAAGAAAACTGTAACAGTTATACGATATTGTATAAGTAAAAGACAAGTAGTAAAGTATAAATGCAGATGACTGACCGATGAGGATGTTGTCAATAACGATAATAAATAAAGTTAAAACACAATTATGTTATCAGTAGGATGAAAGGAAGTGGAAAATTTTGACTTCAACCAATATCGATAGTTTCAGTAGAAGTAAGTATATATCTATGAATTTAATTTTAAAAGTGTAAGTTTTTCATATTTACTAGTTAGGACTTGCCAAAAGTGAACCACAGATATGGTGAAAATAACTTTATTTTTGTTGTGTATTAAAACTGAATACATTTTATTCAGTGGCACATAGTTTTTACAAGACTGTATTTGGCACTGCTGAAAAGCTCATAACTCTCAGTATGATACTAAAACTATTAAATAAATACACTGATCCTCGGAGAACTAAGATAAAAAACATCACAGGGTCGACAGTTTTGAACATAAAAAATAAATGTGTTAATATCAATGTAATAACGTATTTTTTGGAAGCTGACTTTATTACCTCCAAAGACATTATCAGTAAGTGTTAATATCAATGTAATAACGTATTTTTTGGAAGCTGACTTTATTACCTCCAAAGACATTATCAGTAAGTGTTAATATCAATGTAATAACGTATTTTTTGGAAGCTGACTTTATTACCTCCAAAGACATCATGAGTAATTATAGGAAAAGATTCACCAAAATTGCTGTTAATGGGTCACGGGTGGTTTGTGATCGATTTCAGTTTTTCTTCCGATTTACTTTTATGTTATATGAAAAAAAACACTTTTAATAATATACTTGTCAACATAAACACATGATCGGTCTATGTATAGATTTCTAGTTTTTTTATGAATACCTTGTCAGCAATGGTAGACTCATTGAGGCAAAGCACAACAATAGAGGGTTGCACCTTCATCCTACGAATTAGCAGTTTGGTTTGAAGTTTTGAATCAGAATAGAGTAAGAAAAACTGATTAAAATTCTTTATTAATGGTATATTTAACTCTCAGTATGATGCTAAAAGTATTAAATAAATACACTGATCCTTGGAGTTCATGCTGGAGAACTAAGATAAAAAACACAAGTGAATACCTTGTGTTACCAGCTGTTGTTACCAGCAACGAAGGAAATAAGAAATAAACTTTCACTTTCTGTAAGCAGTACGGCTAAGGTGAAACTCTAGAAAGTAATTAAAATTGAACCTGAATAGAGGGACTGTTGGAATCTTTATGGCTAAAGATACAAAACCATTTTTAGCTGTGTGATTTTGCGTAAGGTTTGGAAGCAAGATACGAGATACTTTCTTCGACATTTTAGTACTGTATTAATTCTAGACTTGTACAAAGAGGTACAAGCTTAACACTGAACTGAAAGGTACTTCAAGATCTACTGTTCCAGAAACAAGACAGTCTCGTGTGGTTGAGCATGTGGCAGATGTACTGAATAAGGTTGTCAATGTGGTAGAACTCTCACCCCGTGTCACGAGAAGATAGATTACGGACGTGGGGTAAAAAGGGGTAGTTTCCTTTCTTCATAGATATTCAATGACTCTTGCTAAACTGAAAGCAGATTAAGGTATGCTTAAGTTTTCACAGCACAAGCTAATTCAAGAAGTTTCTAGGTGGGATTCTAGTTTTGACGTACTGGAACGGCAGCCCCTAATTTATACATTTAAATCGATGATAAACAGTTAAATTTTATACTGTTTCAGAAGTGCAATATAAGTATTATGTTTGCTCTACTGGTAAATTAACATAGACTTATGTATTGTGATAAAAGAATACCGATACATATCAGATTGGAAGGTAAGCGTATTGTCACATTCCTAAAAATAGTTAACTAATTTACAAAACTACATGTTAGTAAAGGACCCACTACAGTTTGAGATGTTTCACTAAATCTAACTTGGTGATAATCATATTTTCTAGACACACATATATATATATATATATTATGTACAAAAACATGTTTAAAAAGATTAACATTTTAACTTAAAAATATCATGATACTTTTTATTCATCTTACAGATGATTAGAATATAACATTGCATGGTTCTTAATATCGAACCTGAATTATTGGACCATAGTGATACTTTTATTATAACCCTGATTTTTTTTTGGAAATGTTCCCATTAAGTTAGCGCTGGCAAGGGCTTTTACCATTTTATTCAATGCCTACAGTTCAGTTTTTCTATTTTCAAGCTTCCTTTTAGGAATGTTAATTTTTTTTTTTACATAATCTCAAGTAAGATTATTAAAATCAGGCCAGATTCTCATTCAGTGAATCCTCCCGTAAAAATCCCGACCCTTCATCTCCACTGCCACTCCCCATAGAAGTCATGGATCCTCGTTTTGCTCCAGAGAACCGAGAAGCTGGAACAGCTAACGTTCCACCTCTTCTAGGAAAAAAACAAATTTTATCAGTAAGTTTTGGTTTACGACAATGGATAGAACTGCATCATGACAGTTGTTGTTTTAAATTTTAAAGTTGATCGTAACAAACAAAAAGAAGACTTTCCAAACAGATATTCATTTTAATGAAATGCACAATTTGTTGATGGATTTTACTTTTCTTAAACCATAACATTATTTGTTTTGTCCAGTACTGCCCTTCTTTTTTAAAACTAACATGTTTTTGTTAAGAACCTAAATGAATTTAATGCTAGTTTATTATAAAATATAATATTTAGGTGTGTTTACAAAACATTGTACCAATGTGTTAATCAAGTATTTGTTTAATACCCATCTATACATGTTAAGCTATGAACCCAATTACTTTGGTAAGTCAAAGTTCACGCTGTTGACCTGTCTAAAAAATCTCTTAACTCATCATACATGTTGTTTTGAATAGGACATGGGAAACATCATCTCTTATCAAAAAAGTCTGGTGATGTCCTTTTAGATTTCTGAAATACACAACTTCCTATGAATGGGGCAGAGGTAACATTTAAAGACTGCGGGATGAAAACATGCACGCGTCATGATGTTGACACAAGCAAGATACAAGATTTCATTTTAAAGAAAAAATGTACTTATTGATAACATCTATTTGTGATAATTTAAAAGACTACAAGTTTAACAGCTAATTGAAAAAAAAATAGCTTCTGTTATTACTTGTATAGACTACGAAAAGACAAACATCCTGAACAGTGTTATGGTTATCTTCTTACTGAAAGGGGGTTTTATAACAAAAGACAAACATCTTGAACAATGGGGCAAAGTTTAGCACTCACCTCATTTTGTTCTTTAAGTTATTCAGTTCACGTGACATGGCTTCATTAGACTCCATGGTATCCTCCAACTCTCGCTGAACTTTACGTCGTTGCGCCTTTTCTCGAGAACATTCCTCTTCTGCTTCATCCAGCTGACGCTTCAAGGCCTGTACTCGATTGTTGACTTTTTGTACCTGCAAAGGGAAAAGAACCAGCTGTAGATAACGGTTATAGGCATAAAAGCTTTACTGACAACAGCATAATTTCATTTTGAAACAGTTTTTTTTCCCTTTAATTTCTAATAAAAATGGTATTAAAGTATAATAATAATACAAAACTAATACCTACTCATTTTGGAGACTTACAAGAACATATTCTAATACACTGCTATTGTTTATAATGTTTTAAATACCCTTATACAAGAATGTTCATAACAACCTACCTGTTCTTTGTATTGTTCTGAATGACGTCTCTCGTCTTCGAACTGTAACAGAGCTTCTTTCAGTTTCTTCTCCATTACAACCTACCTGTTCTTTGTATTGTTCTGAATGACGTCTCTCGTCTTCGAACTGTAACAGAGCTTCTTTCAGTTTCTTCTCCATTACAACCTACCTGTTCTTTGTATTGTTCTGAATGACGTCTCTCGTCTTCGAACTGTAACAGAGCTTCTTTCAGTTTCTTCTCCAGTTTACGTGAATTTTTAGTCACAGTTTGCCGTTCTCTAAAAATTGAAAGGTATTTTTCTCCACTTTTTAAAGTGATTCTTAATTTTTTTGTTAAGTAAAATTAATGTTTCCAAAATTGTTACTTAAATATCGGAGCAATATTGAACAAAGTATGGCAATTTACTCTTTATCAACTAATTGGTTATTTTAATTTCATTTATCTGTAATATTACAAAAAAAAGAGGCAAAAGCAACAGTGAACATTCTTTCAATTTTTGAAATATTTTCTTTACATTTATTAAATATTAGATAATGAATAAAATTACGTTATTTAGTGTCAAAATGCAGCACTATTATTATAAAGTACTAAATGATTAGCACAGAAGACTAATAATGGCTGGAGATGGGTAATGAAGAAAAACTTTAATATAAGTTTAACATAACAGCAAATGTACAACGTTTCGACAAGTTTTTGTCAACTTATATTAAAGTTTTTCTTCATTACCCATTCAAGCCGTCTCCAGCCATTATTAGTCTCAAAGTGGGTTCCTCGTCATCGAAACAGAAGATTAACGTTTTTAAGATTTGACAGATCAGTAGTGATTTAAAACATGTTAAAATTAACTGTAGTTGCTTTTTTATTTAATTGAAGTCTAACCTTGAAAACAATATTATTTGTTTAAACTTTATGAAATAACCTAGAACCAAACAGTGCTTCCAGCTTTCCTGAATGTCCAGCAATGTTTATTTTTCCGAGCTAAAACTAATAATTAGGTGGAATAACAACAATTTCTTTTGATGGTTTTACATTTGATTTCAGTTGTTACGTTACTTTGACTTCCAGTTAATAGCTTGATAACTTCAATCATCCTGTGCAGATTAAAGTTTACCTTGTTTCTAGTTCCAGCTGTTCCTCAAACTGCTGAACTTTAGATTCTAGAGTAGCGATTGCTGTTTTTGCCTTGGAACGCTGTGATGTTTCGAGCTCTTCAAGCTTTGCATGCAATTCTTTGTTCTGTAACGTTAAAACAAAACGTGTTTTTGTCACTTAGAAATATGGAACGTATCCCAGTTCTTCATTTAATGCTTATTCTATAAGTCTATAATGTGCATAGTTAAACACAAAAGTACTATATCTATTTTTTGATTGATTGTCTAGCCAGAGTATTTGTGATGACTAACACTGGAATGGCTGAGAAGGGCCTTTTGTGTTTTTTCTACAACAGACAGACACCCATTCCACTGTACTCATCGTGAATACTCTGCCTAAATATAGTATTTTTCAGAATATAAGACGCACCCTTATATTGAAGACAAAGTTTTGGGGAAAAAAAGCTACAGTCGCATTTGAA